CCTGGATCTCAGTGGTCCTGTCCCTCTTGGATCTCAGTGGTCCTGCCCCTCCTGGATCTCAGTGGCCCTGCCCTGCCTGGATCTCAGTGGACCTGTCCCATGTGGATCTCAGCAGCCCTGCCCACCTTGGATCTCAGTGGTCCTCCCCTCCTGGATCCTAACAGCCCTGCCCTGCCTGATTCTCAGGGGCCCTTCCCCTCCTGGATCTCAGCAGCCCTTCCCTGCCTGGATCTCAGTGGCTCTGCCCCCCCTGGATCTCAGTGGCCCTGCCCTGCTTGGGTCTCAGTGGCCCTGCCCCTCCTGGATCTCAGGGGCCCTGCTCCTCCTGGATCTCAGTGGTCCTGCCCTGCATGGATCTCAGCAGCCCTGCCCTTCCTGGATCTCAGTGGCCCTGCCCCTCCTGGATCTCAGCAGCCCTGCCTGGATCTCAGTGGTCCTGCCCTGCCTGGATCTCAGTGGCCCTGTCCTGCCTGGATCTCACTGGTCCTGGCTGGATCTCAGTGGTCCTGTCCCCACTGGGTATCAGACTTCTGGCCTCCAGAGCTGGGACAGGATAAATTTCTGTGGTTCTTGCCATCCCGTCTGTGGTCATTTGTTTTTGCTCCCCCAGGAAACTGATGTACTGAGAAAAAAAAATCACATATTATTCTACTTCCCTAGGGATCAAAGAAAGCAAAGTTAAATTTCAGAGACACACGTGTGTGAGAGGCTGATAACAAGACAAAGTCGATGCCCTGTGTAGGACGGGGGTTAGATTTTGCAGGTGCATTTTGGGGAAACCCTGGACACTTTTTTTAAATGTTTATTTATTTTTGACAGAGAGAGAGAGAGAGAGACAGAGAGACAGAGAGAGAGAGAGAGAGAGAGAGAGAGAGAGAGAGACAGAGCATAAGCAGGGGAGGGGCAGAGAGAGAGGGAGACACAGAATCCGAAGCAGGCTCCAGGCTCCGAACTGTCAGTGCAGAGCCTGATGCAGGGGTTGAACTCACAGACTGTGAGATCATGACCTGAGCCCAGTCGGAGGCTCAACCGACTGAGCCCCCCAGGTGCAGCCTGTTCGCACTATTTCTAGTGACATCTCTTCGCCCCCGAAACTTCAAGACATCACAAGACAAGTACAGGTATTTACTGAGAATTAATGAAGCACGCGTGCAAGGCGTTAGGATCCTGGTCTCGGCACGTCCAAGATGCGGGGTTCCGGGGCTCCCCCGGGAGCAGCAAGCGATTCTCAGACACCAACCCCTGGGCTCTGACAGGTCCACTCTGAGGCACCTGGATGTGGCCTCAGATGCCACAGGGTAGGACTGTCCCCGACCCCCCACCTTCAGCTGCCAATCGCAAATTCAGGTTGTCATCCCTGCAGTGGAGCGACCTGTGCGTAGACTGGAGGTTCCTCCAAAGCCTCCTCGGTTCCTTCAACCCGCCAGAGGGGCTCGCAGGGGCGCGGGGGAAACATCTCACTGCCTAGCTCACCGGGTGATCATAAGAGGCATAGGTCCAATCTGACTCTAACTGCAGCTGCAGTCCCCTCCCCTCCCCCCCCCCCCCCCCCCCC